TCATTAACATTTTGTATTGCTGTGATAGATTTGTTATGATTGGTGAACCAATATGGACACGTTATTATTAAATAAAGTGCATAGTTTACACTTTAGGGTTCTCTCTGTGTCATATAGTTCTGTGGATTTTGACAAATGCAAAATGTATCATTCATTATCATACCATACAGTATCATACAGAATAGTTTTACCATCCTAAAAATGCCCTGTGCTGTTTCTCTCTCCCCCTTCCCCCTGGCAACCACTGATCTTCTTACTGTCTCTATAGTTTTGCTTATTCTAGACTGTCATACAGTTGGAATCATGCATTGTGTAGCCTTTCCAGACTGGCTTTTTTGGTTTGTTTTGAGGAAGATTAGCTCTGAGCTAACATCTGCTGCCAGTCCTCTTTTTGCTGAGTAAGACTGGCCCTGAGCTAACATCCATGCTCATCTTCCTCCACTTTATATGTGGGACACCTGCCACAGCATGGCTTGACAAGTGGTGTGTAGGTCTGCACCCGGGATCTGAACCCGTGAACCCTGGGCTGCTGAAGCTGAACGTGTAAACGTAACTAACCTCTGTGCCACTGGACTGGCCTCAGACTGGCTTCTTTCACTTAGCAATAAGCATTTAAAGCTACTCTGTATCTTTTTTGTGGCTTGATAGCCCATTTCTTTTTATCACCAAAAAATATTCCAGTGTATGGATGCACCATAGTTTATCCACTCAGCTATTGAAGGCTATCTTGGATGCTTCCAATTTTTGGCAGTTATGACCAAAGCTGCTATAAACATTTTATGCAGGTTTCTATATGGACATAGTTTTTAACTCATTTGGGTAAATACTTAGGAGCACAATTCCTGGATTGTATGTTAAGACTATGTGTAGATTTGTAAGAGACAGCTCAGCTGCCTACCAAAGTGGCCTGTATCATTTTGCATTCCCACCAGCAATGTATGAGAGTCCTATAGCTTCATGTCCTCACCAGAAATTGAGGTCGTCAGTGTTTTGGATATCACCATTCTAATAAGTGTGTTGTGGCATCTCATCTCATTGTTGTTTTAATTTTCAGTACCCTAATGACTTTTATGGTGCACATCTTTTTATCTGCTAAGTGGCCATCCACCTGTCTTCTTTGGTGAGCCGTCTGTTCAAATCTTTTGCCCATTTTTTGAGTTTTCTTAATTTTTGAGTTTTAAGAGTTCTTTGTGTATTTTGAATGCCAGTACTTTGTCAGATATGTATTTTGTAAAGATTATCTCCCAGTCTGTAGCTTATCTGTTCATTCTCTTAACGTTATCTCTCAGAGAGCGGAAGTTTTTAATTTTAATGAAATCCAACTTGATTTTTTTTTTTCATGGAACATGCTTTTGGTGTTGTCACCTAGATTTTTTTCTTTTATTATCTTCTAGAAGTATTATAGTTTTGCATTTGACATTTAGGTCTATGATCCATTTTGAGTTAATTTTTGTGAAAAGTGTAAGATCTGTGTCTAGATTATTTTGCACATGGATGTCCAGTTGTTCCAGTACATTTGTTGAAGACTATCCTTTCTGCATTGAATTGCCTTTGCTCCTTTGTTAAAGATCAGTTGATTATATTTGTATGAGTCTATTTCTGGCTCTTTATTCTATACCATTGATCTGTCTATTCTTTCAACAATACCATACAGTCTTGATTACTGTGACTTTATAAGTAAGTCTTGTGTTTTCTCTCTTTTTTTCTTGATTAGCCTTGCTAGAGGTTTATCAGTTTGATCTTTTCAAAGAATCAGCTTTTGGTTTTGTTGGTTTTCTGATATCTTGTTTTCAATTTCATTGATCTCTGCTCTTATTTTTTTAACTTACTTTGGATTTAATTTGCTCTTCTTTTAGTTTCCTATCATATCTTCTTTTCTATGTATATTTTCTTTTATATCATATGCATTATATCTTCTTTTCTAACATACACATTTAACACTATAAATTTCTCTCTAAGCTTTGCTTTTGCTGCATCTCACAACTTTTGGTAGTTGTATTTTCATTTAATTCAAAATATTTTTAAATTTCTCTTGAGACTTCCGTGATCCATGTATTTTTAGAAGTGTGTTGTTTAATCTCCAGATATTTTGGGATTTTGTGGCTATCTTTCTGTTGATTTGTAATTTAATTCTATTGTGGTCTGAGAGTGTATTTTGCGTGATTTCTGTTTTATATTTGTTAAGCTGTGTTTTATGGCCCAGAATGTGGTCTATCCTGATGATGTTCCATGTGAGTTTGAAAAGAATATGTAAAGTCCGAAATGGGTTTCATGAGGCCTAAACCAGAGTGTCTTCAGGGCTGCACTTCCTCCAGAGACTCTAGGGGAGAATCTGTTGCCTTGCCTTTTCCAGTTTCTAGAGGCTGCCTGGATTCCTTGGCTGGTAGCTCCTTCCTCCATCTTTAAAGCTCATCACTCAACCTCTGTTTCTGTGATCACATTTCCTCTCTTTTTCTGACCCTCCTGTGTTCCTTTCTGAGGACTCTTATGATGACATTTTGCCCACCTGGATAATCCAGGATAATCTCCCAATCTCAAAATCCTTAGTATAATCACATCTGCAAAGTCCCTTATCCCAGGTAAGGTAACGTATGCCTGGGTTCCGGGGATTGGGACATGGACATTTTGCGGGCAGCAGTGAGGGCATTATTCAGCCTACCACAGTAGGAGAGTCAGGATTTGAACTCAATAAGCCTGCTTTTAGAACCACCTCTTTGTTTTTTCTGGCTTTCCTACACCTTCCACATCTAAATGTCTCCTTTATGCTGTGTTTTAATTGTCTGCCTTTACCCTTCCCACTAGAATGTAACCCTCCTGAAAGAGGATATAGAGCATTTGAACCAAATGAGTTCAGATACAAGAAACTGTATGGAGTAATGAGACATCAACAATAGAGAAAATAATGGTTCTTATTTGATTCCCCAGCCTTTTAAGCTGTGTATGTGTCTGACTTTTGCAGTTAATTAGTTACCTCCTAATATTAATATAAATTAAATATTAAGATAAATATATGCATATATATCTAAACTTAAGTAGCCTCCTGTGGCTTGTGGCTACCGTATTAGGTAGCACAGCTCTATAATCTCTACCTTTCCGTCAGACTGCTCTTACAGAACTGTAATGCATATGCTAAAGATGGTTTGGGTTGTCTGAAATGAAAATTCTTCTAACAACTCATGTTGCCTTAATTTTTGGTTTCTCTTTTTGTGGGAACAGAGGTAAGGACTGAAATGATATACATTCTAGAGGAGTTTTATGTCATTACAAGCAATTTTAGATAGAACAAACTTGCCATCGAGGAGTTTGTTTTGCCAAGTTCTCTTCTTCCAGTCACTGGACAGCATAATTAATAGTAAAAAGCCTTGGTAGTTTTATCGTATTTCTTTATTCCTAGAAGTACTTCATGAGAATGTAACTGTTAATGCAGGCTACTATAATACAGGACTCTGTAAAACCACATTTGGATAGGTTTTCATTATGCTGGCAAATTTAACTATGTTTCTATGCAGTTTATGTGAGCCCCACCCATACTTTAACCTGTTTCCCATTTTGATGAGGTCCAATCAGGGGAAAAAGCAACAACAAAAAAATCTTCCTGTGTGGCCTGTAGATATCAAATCTGAAGATTATTAATGCATTTCCAGCTAGGGACCATAAGCAAACAAACTCTCCTACAGATAGCTACACCCTTCCTGTTTGGGATTGAGTTTACTGTGGAACAGATTTCGGAAACAGGTTCTGACCGTTGTGAATTTTATTTATAAAATGTTGGAGGGTGAGGTTCTTCCTTTAACAAAAAGCTAATTATTTCCTGTCTAATGCCCAACAGAGCATTTTATGCAGTCTTTTTAGAAAATTTACCCTGTAGTAGAGAATTATGTTGCTTTGGGCAGTTCTGGTTGTTCTTGTCAACTAATGTACAAAAATTGGTCTATTTCAATGAATAATTCAAAAAGGACTTACAATTAAAAAATAAAACACAACCTCTGAATGCTTGTAATATCTTGTCTCCAGAGTGACAGTAGTTTACAGTTTAAATAAATGTATGAGCACATTGTAATATGGTTTTACTTTTGATATGCAAATCTGTAGCACATTTATGTTCTGTAAATATGCTCAATGAAGGGTTACATTTTAGGTAAAACAGCAGATTTAAAAGAATTTGCAGGTTAATTCACAGTGTAACATTATCCTCATCTAGTACATCTGTTATAAAGAAGCCTATAAAATTTAGGCCACCCACAAAGTGGTCTGCTGAGGCCTGTGGTTGGTGTTAGAATGCTGTTATTATGCGGGCTGACTGGTTTGGTAAGGAATTTACCTCCACTAAGACTGTGAAACATCATGGTCCTGACTTTCCCCCACGGGGACTGCATTGGCTTGACTTAGGTGCTATGTGTTTGTTAGACCAGTTAATGGGCTCTATTGCCTTGACATCATATGTAATACCATGTGAATGGTACGCTGTTTTCTAAGTTCTTTTATTAGAAATAGTCATATCAATTCTGGGTCATATAAACCTTAGGATAAACTGGAATGGTTGGTTTAAATAGTTAAACTTAATGGCTATTATGAGTAAAGTTCATCACTATTTAGAAAAATGTGTGTATGCGCGTGTGTGTGTGTGTGTTAGTACTGAGATGGAGAAAGCAGCTAAGGGTTTTATATATTTTATTTGTGTCATTGGAAGAACTTAGCCTTTTAATTTTCTTGGGGCTTGTGAATGGTTTTCAAGAGCAAGGAAATGAATTTACTATAATTTAGCAATCTAATACTGAGAGTCAAAATTAAATAATCTTCCTGACTTCTTCATTCAGTGACGTGATCTCTCAGTGTTTTCCTATCATTCAAGTTGTCAGCAAAGGGGCCGAGAGAGGTGCAGTTGTATTACTGTGTCTCCCTTTTAGACTTTAGCATCATAATTCTGCCAACTGAATGAGCTCAATGGTTGGCTTATTATTTTCACTCTTAGCTAACCACAGTGTATTTCACCTTTCTAGGTTTACCGACAAGACTGTGAAACTTTCGGGATGGTTGTGAAAATGCTGATTGAAAAGGATCCTTCACTAGAAAAGTCTATCCAGTTTGCACTGAGACAGAATTTACATGAAATAGGTGAGCGCTGTGTTGAAGAGCTCAAGCATTTCATTGCAGAGTATGACACCTCTAGTCAGGATTTTGGAGAGCCTTTTTAGACTATTACTTGCTCAGGCAAAAAAAATGTTTCTAGATTTTTTTTTCCTGGATTGTGTAAATCCTTAATATATGGAATTTTGCGATGAAGAGAAATACTTTATGATAGTTGACCACATTTCCAATATCAAATAAACATCTAAAATAGTCTAAGATATTTTAATTAGATTTTTTATCTACACATAGAGCCTCCTAATCCATACTTACCTCCCTCTCTCCTAAAATGATGGGTCAGTTAATTTTTCAAGCTTTGAAAAAGCAGTCCTGAAGAACAGCTTTCTGTACTTACTCATGTTCTGTAGTCTTCCATAGTATATGATCATTTGTTTGGTCATGTTAGTGTAATTTATAGGTTAGAGATCATTTCATGTAAACATTAATAGTCTTTTTACATTTCATAGTCAATGATACCATGTGAAAATGTTAGAATTCTGAGTTGTGATTTTACTGAATTGTTGCTTGCTTATCTTAGGCCTTGTAACTTTTAGTATGTTTAAATATAATATCTAAATAAACTGAATACTTTGTTATCTTAGAGAATAGTTGCTTTGAGAATAATTCTCATTGCGATAACATAGAGCACTTACATCTCTTAAAGGCCCTCACAATAAAATGCTGTTTTCCAAGTAAATGAACTCAATGTCTTGTATTAAAATAATCCTGAATTTCCTGGCTACTCTCGCTGATGTGTGAGTCTTCAACAATATTATATGTAAGACTAAGAGAAGGGACAATTTGAAATGAAAGATGAGGGCTATTTTAAAGTTGAAATTTCTTTAAAAATATTATAATCGAAAGAGAAAGATTTAGAATATGAGGGAGTAGTGGAGTTTCATTTTTTCCGTAGGCCCATATTCCCTATCTCAAGAAAGAAGAAGATTAATAACATATCCGTGATTAGACCATTTACAAATTATGCCTTTATTAATCTCTGTTTGTAGTCTAACCAGTTCTTTGTTCTGCTGCCCTTTTTAGGAGTTCTTAGCCTTTCAAAAATGTTCTTGAAAGAAACAAAGCAGAATAGGCACTCAGCCCAGCATAACTACCCTTCACCAAGCAGTCTATGTAAACAATCCTTCATGAGTGAGCCGTCCAAATCACAGGTTAGTTAGGAATCTAACTGGGACGATTAGGATATTCTACTCGCTTCCTGATCACTTCCAGCTGCCCAATGGCATTTAGCCAAAATATGTGATTTTATGGCATTAGTTAGGAGACCTTAAAAATCATGTTTGTTATTACTACCCAATTTCATTATCCTCCCATCCTCTTTCCATTTCCAGTCTCTTCTCACTTGAATTCTGGCATTATTTTTAGTGACCTCTATTGATAGTATCTAAAGAGCTGCCCCAGAGTAGATAAAAATTATATTAAAAGTGGAAACAGCAGTATAAATAATTTTTGTGGATCCTATAATGGGTGCCTCAGAATATGTATTATGCCATTCCACAAATTTAAGAACTAATTAAAGGCAACAATTATTTTCCTAAGTTTCCTGTATGAAACCACCTTGAATTTTTATTTTTGCCACTTAGATGTTGTACATAAGCCACAACTAAATCCCACATATCATCTCTGGTATTCTTCCCTAAAATAAACAGTGATTTTATTTGTTACCCACTTTAGAAAGACTAAGAAAGTACTGATCTTGTTTTTCCTGTGCCCCCATGTTTTTTTTCTCCTTAAATATTCTAATTCCAGGATTCAGTTCCTTTAGCCAAGATGTCACAAGTTTAAAAATAAAACTTGAGAAACAAGGCAAAGGAGTTGTTCACCTAGTAGAAACTCATTAAACTAGAAAGTTTACTCACAGATGCATTTAAATACAGGTTCAACAGTTAATTTCTTCATCTTCCGTTCCCCCAAAATACATTCAGCATTTAAAGGTGTTTATAGCTTGCCATCAGTATTATTCTGGTAGGCTTGTCAGTGTTAAATCTGTTTGTTTGTTTGTTTTAAAAGCTTAATTAAATATCTAATTTCAGTATAGATGAATTCAGATGTGTACCAGAGTGTGCATTTTGCAAAATGTTCTTGATTAAAGAAATCTGTAAATTATCCATTGTTTATGAGTATGCCCAATTGATGTGATAAAATTTTCATTGTCTTACCATAAAGCCTTGATGGTCAACAGGGGGAAAGCAGATATTGTGAAGCTTTTTGTGAATTTTAAAAGTGCAAAATAAAACAACCAGGTTGAAATAATTAGATTGTCTTTTTTCTCTTTAACAGGCTTAATGTGTGTTTGCTGAAATGTAGATTTTTATTACTCTCTACTGCAAGATTACTCCTCAGTGTTCAGTTCACCTACTCAGCAGCAGGATGGAAGAAATTTTGAGAATTGAGAAACTATAAACTTTGGTGCGTTAGGGAGTCTTGATAGCTAAGAAAGCAGTTAAATGGGATAAGATTGAGCACATAATGGTGGTCAATAACTGTGTATCTATGAATCTGAGTTTCAGAGAATTGTAGGATTACAGTCCTACATCTTTACTGTAACCTCTGGAGGGCAGAAACCATGTTGTCTTTGTGACCCAGTTCCTATCATAGTTTGGAACGTTGTAGATATTCAGATTGTTGTAGGTCCTCGTTTTTGTTGTAGGTACTTGTGTTTGTTGTAGGTGCCCGTATTTGTTGTAGGTGCTTGTATTCATTGATGCTTCACGAAGGAGGTGATATTTGACCCCGGAGCCTTGGAGGAATAGGACTTACTCGGGCAGAGAAAGGGAAGTATTAGAAGTCCAGGAGGAAGGACTCCTATAGGGAAAGGCGCAGGCTTGTGTGACTGGAGCTGGTTGGGGAAGATGATAGAGGACAAATGTAGGGAAAGGTAGGTGGAGAGCAGAATGTGAAGGATTTTGAATGCTTATAGCTTTATCCTTTCTGTCCTACTTAAGAATGAGATCTGAAAATATTCCCTTTGTATTTATTCTTGCCAGAAATGTTGATTTCTCGCAGCCCTTCAGCCACGTCCCAGCCCCAAGTGGTTCATAGACCCAGAATCTCTTGAAGGAAGGAGAGGCCAAATCCTCTTTAAAAAGGACTCTGCTAGACTGCCAAAACATTATATAGTGGTTTCAGCTTCATTTCAGAGTTTCCTGCAAGGAGTCCTAAATTCCACGGAAGGCTCTGACAGTTCTTTGGCAGCAACTTTGGAGACAGTGATCTGGTCGTCCCTGAAGTATTCATGGTGGACAGTATTCAGTGTTGCAGGCAGCCAGCCTCCCAGGTGGCTTACAGCTGTAACATTGCTCTGGCTGGCACCTGGAGCTCCTGTGAATAATGGCCACACACTACTTGCCAGACCAAGGTTTGTAGGTTATGCACGGTACATTTATCATCTCCTTCCTGCCAGTTCTCTTGAGAGCACTGATGTTACCCAATTCAGTGAAAAAAAAAAAGGTGGGGAGGGACTAGTAAGTAAGGTAGTTAGTAGACTCTGTTTTCCCCTTGTCTTGTGGAAATGGAGTTGAAATTGAGTCACGTAACTGCCTAATTAGGACTGTCTTTGCCATGTCCCCCTTGCAGTTAGGTGTGACCAGGTGACAAAGTTCTCTCCTATGGAATTCGAGTGGAAGTACTGCTACTTCTGGGCTGAGACCTTTAGGACAATGGATGTCCCTTCTTCATGCTCTCTTTTATCCCTTCCCAAAAGTAGTAGGAATAGCAAACCAGCCTTCATTTTCCACAGAGCCACAAGATGGAAGGAGCCTGGATCCCTGCATGACCACCTGGAGAACTTAACTGTTAGTGAAAGAGGAATCAATGTCTTTATTGTTTAAGCCACATTATTGGTTTCTTATTAGCAGCTCACCTTTTGCTCAAATTAATACAAATAATATTTGAGGGTTAGCTTCACTGAAGTTGGCCCTCAGTAGGCTGTATCAGTCCTAGATTTCCATTGTAATCATTGATCTTGGAGAAATGAGGACTGATTATATAAAAGGCTTTGCCAGTCCACTGAGTTTATTTCAAGTTATATTTAAAATCTCACTTGACGACAAATATTGTTAAAGCCTTATGCATATATGTATGGCAGTAGAGACAGTCTGATTCTATAGCACATTGGTTTTTTTGAGTTCTCCTCCCACAGATTAACAGTGTTCTAATGTTAGACTGCCAGCCCTGGTGGTCTAGTGGTTAAGCTTTGGCGTTCTCACTGCTGCGGCCTGGGTTTGATTCCCAGTCAGGGAACCACACCACCCGTCCGTCAGTTGTCATACTGTGGTGGCTGAGGGTTGCTGAAAGCTATGCCACTGGTATTTCAAATACTAACAAGGTCACCCATGGTGGACAGGTTTCAGCGGAGCTTCCAGACTAAGACAGACTAGGAAGAAGGACTTGGCCATACACTTCCAGAAAAGCTGACCATGAAAACCCTATGAATAGCAGTGGAGCACTGTCCGATGCAGCGCCAGAGGGTGAGAGGGTGGCGCAGGAAGGCCAAGCAGGGTTCCTCTCTGCTGTCCACAGGGTCGCTAAGGAGTCAGAATCAACTGGACGGCACTAACAACAAATGTTAGACCATTATCACTAAAATTGTAAAAGGTTTTAAACTTTTTCCCCATTTTTGTGTATGTGAAAAGGTAGAGGTTTATTGAAATATAAACATTCGAGAATATGTAAGAGAAAATAATCACAACATATACAGACACTTGCTGCAGGAGGACGTCTGGGGTATTTGTCCACTGCCTGGGCTACCCATGTGCTGTCACATTTTTCCTGGTTAGGATACATGGAAGATGGGGCGGGGGCGGGAGACAGAGCTGCCCTGGCCAACTGGCCACGTGGCCTTCAGGTCTGCACCTTCAGGGAAAGCTCCTCTTGGCCCATGGCCCTGTTTTGGGGGCACTTGCTGGTGCTCCCACTCTCAGGCTTTCTGGCTGAGACCCTGCTGTTGTCCTTGAGGCAGTGAGGGTGAGGCTGGGCAGGCTGCCTGGAGAAAGGGAGAGAATCCAATGAGCAGAAAGACACAGTGTGCCTGAGTGGGAAGAGTCCATCCTTCGTGACCAAACCCTTGAGAAAGACACACTGGCCAAATGTCTGTGACACCTTCAAGTGGGCCCAGCACCAGCCAACTGGGTTCCTCCCTGGCACCAGACCCCAGATGCCTTCTCTGCCCACATCTTGTGCTTGCCTGATGGGTAAGGTGGGGAAAGCTGAGGCCAGAAGAGGGTCAGCCCTCAGTGGATGGAGCTGTGTGTAGTGTCTGTGGACGGGGGGGGGTGTGTGTGTTACAGTTCCACAGAGCTGCTGCTTCCCAGGCTGAGGTATCTGTTTTGTGCTCAAGCTTTTGATTTCTCTTTCCTTTCCTGGACAGTACTGAGTGTTAGCAGTACTGTGGGCTCATGCCGGCGTGGTCTCCCACCACCACAGCCCGAGGACATCACAGCGGGTGGTGTTCTACTGAACACTGGCAGAGTTACTTGATTGAGAGGTGAGTCTTGTGTGAGAATCACCTTTTCTTTACAGCATAGGAGCAACGTGATCCATCCCAGAGTCTAAGAGGAGAGACCAGGTCTCTCAGCATCTCATCTCCTGGGGCAGCTCGGCCTCTGTAAAGCCCATGGCCTCCACGGCCTGCCTCTTTCCTGAGGTGGGAATGTTGAGCGAAGGGGAGATTTCCCGCCCCCGCCTTGGTAAGGGGTGAGGCACTGCTCCTGCTTTGGCAGAAATTGCCCACGTTTTTAAACTTTGTACTCTGCTACTTCTGTAGAGTAGAATCTAGTGTACCGCATTGAATGGAGCTTAAACAATATTTCAGGTTTAATATACTACATACTTTGTAGGGTTCTGAGAAGCACCATGTTTTCCGTTATTTCACTATCTGAACAAGGTTAGAACCACCATTCTAGTGTTTTTTGATTCACAAACCCTTTCACATGTAGTGAGCCAATGAGGATTTTATTCTCGTTTTACAGTCAAGGGCAGGAGAAGTTAGAACTTGCCTGGGGTCAGATAGCTCAAGTGGCAGAGCCAGAGATTTACCCAAATCTTTCAACTCTAGACTCAGTTTTCTTAGAAGAAATGGGAAAGTCTGGGGTCATTCAGAACTAGATTCAAATCCTGACTGCAGCACACATTGGCTGTTTGATGTATGTGCAGTTAATGTGTAATGCGATCGTAATGGGTAATGTGTAAAGTAATAACTTCAAAAAACTTTTGAGAAAATTCAAATCTTGGTTGAGTAAGTTTTTCCTCTTTTTCATTTTACCCTCAGTTGCTACTACCTTCCATATTGGTTCCTAGGACTTCTGCTTTGGAGCTATTCTAGAAAACACCTTTGAGGTTCATAAGGGGTAGTGGTAGGGGACAGGAAGCCTGTAGGGTTACATCCCCCATGGCCACAGCGCAGCCCAGGACTCGGCTCCTTGGCTGCTGTACCTGGACCCATGGTAGAGTTTGAGAAGAGCCTTTAAGTGCAATGAACCTGGTAATTCAACTCCTCTTCTAGGAACCAAGATTAATTAAACATAGTTAACACCTTTTCAGCTTTGCTTACAACATGTTCAGCGATTCTGGACTAAGATTGCTGCCCGTAGCAGCCCTCTGAGATGCAGGGAAAAAATCTTACTTTTCAGCCTGGTAACTGGGGAGAAATAACATGAGGGAGGAAAAGATCCAGTCTTTCACATATTCTGTGCCGTAATCTCCAGACTGTCTCCGTAATGAAGATAAAGCCAGCTTGAAGCATAAGTGCTGACAGGGAAAGAACCATCTCCAAACTTCTTTTTCATGGTCTAGTTTAACCTCTTGCCCACTCAGAATCCCAAGCATTAACATAAAAAAGCAGCAACCCTCTTTAAAGTTCCCAAGTCAAATGAGCCATGGTCTTTGGAAGGATCATCCTTTCGGGAATCCTTGCCAGACAAATATATTGGTAAATGAAAGTCAGAAAAGGGAAACAACACTATGCTGAGGGGGAAGACTTCCCTCTTGACTGACCTGATCAGTTCAATTCAGTCTGCACAGAGTACTGAAGCTGGAAGGAAACCTTTGAGATGGTCTAGCACTCTCATTTTACAGAGGTGGAAGCTGGGTTCAGAGCACTAACCCATGGAGGTAATGAGCAAGGTGTCTCCTTACCCAGATCTCCCGAATCCTGGAGTTCAGTGTGCTCTGCACCACTCCAGGATCCACTTCGGGGTGGATTTATATTAGACTACTTATTGTCTTTCCCACTGTCAACTGCTTGGTTCATTTATTTAGAACACTAAAGTAAGTATTAACATTTAAGAGAACTGGTTTCATATTCTGAATGGTGGTTTATGTTGCTGGAATCAAATGATTTCAGAGAGTGGATTGCAGGTTACTTCTAAAGTTGGCCTAACAGCACCTTGTGCACATTCAGCAGGAGAAATGTGAGATTTCCTTTGCAAAAAGAAAAGTTGAGGCTAAAATTGATCCCAAAATTGGAATACTTGACCAGCTCACTGGGTCTGTTGAAGAAAAATAAATCGCCTCTCATCCTGTGACTAAGTCTCTATCTACCGAATGTCTTACTTTTCCTCCACACTTCCTTCCCAGACCATTTTGTGAAAACCATCCTTAAACTTTATTCTCCTGGAAGAGTTTATGATTCTATGACCTTGGCAAAATATGAGCTCAGAGGTGCAAAATTCAGTTTGCTCCTGCTTATTCTCCTTGGCCCAGTTTACCTGGAAGCCGTCCTAATGTGTTCTGAGTTTGCAGGAAACCCATGTGACTGTACAGGAGCATGCCTCCTGCTATTAGATAGTTCCAAAGAATGGCTAGAGAATCTCACTAGGCAATTAGTGACTTTCTCATTTAACTAATTAAAAATGATTTTTATCATAATTGTGTTACTAGCACTGAATTGACAATGAGGCTCTTAGTGGAATATTTTTTTGATCCCAGTAAGTTTTCTCCTTTGTGCATCCAAAAAAGGTCACAAGTATTTCTATAAACAGTAATTAGTTGTGCCTCTAAGGGCACAGCTAAGGGATAGGGGAATCAGCTTCAGGCTCCTGAATTTATAACCCATGCAGTGGGGACTTGCTGATGGCAAGCTCATTTTGTTCAAAGTGTTTCAGAAATGTCTGAATTAGTTGCTAGTGTTCAAAAGCTGGGATATTTCATGAAAGTCCAGATTCTTTGTCCGGAAAAATCTGAATTTCTAACAACACTGGTTCTCCTTTCCATGGCAGTAGTCAATTGTCCATTAGAAATAAGAAGCTCAATAAACCAAAGTGTGCACACTCTATCTTAATAATGCCTGCGCTGAAATTGTCTGGGCACTCCTGAACTACACCCACACCAGTACTTCCAGGTCCCATCACCCAGGACCAAGTTGGGCAGGGATGCGTGCCACACATGGAAATCTCGCAGTCTTGGGTGCCCATTCCAATGTTACTACTCTTTTAAGAAGGCCGATGATTCCTATCTAAAGTGAGAGAGTTAGACAGCAAATGATATCTCCTTTCACTTCTGGTACATTTTATTTAACTCAGGAACTAGAAAGCAGTCTGTCAAGAATAGCAAATGCATACACAAAATGAATCATTTTCTTTTAAAGAGCGCTAAAAGGAGTTCCCGTTGACATTTTATCAGCGTCCTTCCATGGGCCTTAAGCAAAATGTTCTCCACTTTGGTCTGAAGTGAGGAAACTGCAACCACTAGAGTTCTGCTTCACCCATGGAGAGCTTTGAGGCAGTGTTTTAACATGTGATGTTTATCTTGGGGCCACATTTTAGAGTTTAGTAAGAGTGCAGAGTATCTATCTGGTCAACTGCTAACTAAATCTACGAACATCTTTTGGCAACTATATGCTTAATTTTCTTGCCTAATTCTTTACGGACCGCAAGGCAGTGCTTCCCTTTCTTCCTTTGTCTTTCTTATCATTATACACTCATCTTTGTTGTCGCTACTAACCAAGATTTAAAATCTTTAAAGGTTACATTATTATTGTGAATAAATATCTCTGCATGTCCTTAAACCTTTGGCAACTTATATAACCTTTACATAAGGAAATGAAAAAAATGAATAGGGTGATTGTTGTGAGAAGCAAGAGCAACTAATCTTTTGAGAATGACTTGGAAACTACTGGGCACAGTAACTTCAGCTTATCCCTGCACTTCTCCAGGCTAAGTATTACCTGTTTACTATTTGTCATCCATCCTTTGCAAGCAACATATTGCAGTAGTTTTTTCTAAAAGGATGCCTACTCCTTGCAGCATAGGTTCTGAAAAGGTCTTGAAAAATCAAGAAATTTGCTAATATGTGAGTGGTGATGAAACAAGCACTCTCATACATCATTGGTGTAAATGTAAATGAGGAGAATTTCTTTTGGAGGAAAATTGGTGATATCCACCAAAATTTTAAATGCATAACCTTTGTTCCAGTAATTATGCTGCTCAGAATTTATGCACGTGTGCCAGTTCAGGATAAGGTACCTGTGAAGAATTCAAGTCCATCACTAAGGGATTGGTTAAGTAAATTATGGTTTATCCATAAGTGGAATATTACGCAGTCATTAAAAGAATGAGGTAGACCTATATGCACTAATGTGGAATGTCCACATATAAAGAGGAAAAAAGCAAGCCTCAGCATGTATAGTTTGCTACCATTTTTTAAACATACATTTATATAAATATGTTTTGAACATCTGAAGGATACACTAGAAATGGATAATAGTGGTTACTTCTGGGGAAGGGAACTGAGGGACTGGGGATGAAGAGTGGAAAGAAGACACCTGACTGTCCTTTATTGTTTGAATTTTTTTTACTGTGTGCATGCATTTCCTTTTCATCACTGATATGTTTTTAAAATGAACCAGACGAGGGAAATGATACAGTTACTGAGTAAAGCGCTCTCTCCCCAGTGGTGCGTTTTGAAGGGGCCCTGTCTAGCTCAGATACAAAGCCCTGACTATCCAGGGATGGGTATAGGGGGACGCTGTAGACCACTGGTTCACCTACTGGATCCATGTTCCTCCTTCCCAAGGCCTAACAGCTTTTGCCCATTCTGGTAAATACAGACAACCTTAGCTCTGTGTCTCAAGTCCTATTTCCCGCCTACTCACAGGGGCAAGTGGATATGCAGGAGTCAAATGGTGGTCTGCAAATGGTAGAAGAATGGCAAACCAACAAAGGAGCAAAATGGAAGTGATCTGGATGTGTTTGCAAAGATTTGTGTTCAGAAAGGTAGTTTGTGATTTATTAAGCATTTATTAAACACTTTCCTAAAGGTCTGAGATACCACTATGACCTCAGGCCTGAAACATATGTGTAAGAATGGCACATATCAAAATATCAGCTCATTACTTCAAATCCAAGAAAACTTGAAATAGAACCTCATATTAACTTGATGTAGTCAGTGGCACAGTATCCTCCAATTTAAAGATTTTAAAAGAGAAACATAACCAGAAGGCCTAGTTTTCAAAACTGCTGTTAAAGGCCAACAAATTAGCTGGAAGGAAGGGATAAAAAGGAATAACTTCTCTTCAGATAATAAATCTACAAAGTCCTCTGCTACAAAAAGCAGATCCTTATAGTTTTGGTCTCTTCGCAGGAGATAATCACCACCTTGCTAAAAATGGGAAAGGCACCCCCTACCATCCCCAAGGGGGAAGAAAACATTCACCCAAACAGCTTCTACTTGTTTTTACCATATATTCCAGGGGTATATGTGGGTTTTTTTGTTTGTTTTTACATTTATACAGTTTACATTGCTTGACCCATAAATAACACTTGTAAGATTAATAGGGCCATAGTTTTAAAGAATATTTACATAGCCCCACCATGCATACAGAGCCTTTTTAATATTGAAAAATCAAAAAAAAATTGAACTTTCCATCACTAGGCAATATAAATTTGACCATCTAAACTTATAAACCCTGACTAAAATACAAGCAATCATTTCATCCATAAATGCTGTTTCTGGTTCCCTAACAAATCTAGCACTGCAGTGTAACAAACATCTTGCAATTCAGGGATATAAAAATATCAGCTTTAAAATCTGAACTGTACAGTATGTACATTAATATTTGCACCATTAAATTAGGAATACACTTAAGTCTGTGAAATACTACATTATAAATAGCAATGCTTTTTTCAGTCTGTAGCTGGAACTAATACAATACAATGTTTACCTGGCTAATGAGGACTGAAAGGGGATGAGGTGGCCTCGCACGATGGGATGCACAGTGTTGGCTGGGTCAGCGTCACTACGCGCATGCCTCACAAGACACACGGATCAGGACCTGGGCCAACCTGGCGCAGACGAACGACAAACACTATTGCTTTACAAAGGTGGCTGAAGTTCTCCATTGTCTAAAATCAACACCCTCGTCCAATCACCTCATGACAGTTTCTTAAGGATTCTCTTGAGGACTGGAGAGCAAAGGAGCTATATAAAACACTGATGCACTTGACAGGCACAAGATGTCACGTCAACCTGGCGCCATCCGAGGAGGGTACACTGGAGAAATCACACCTTCCATATGTTAATCTGACACTGTAAACAGCTGCCGGGGTCTCATTTACATGGGCAAAGCACTTTAAACTATTTTAGCAACTTTCCTATGGAAGAAAAAAGATATGATTCAAGATGGTTAATGGCTAAGTTTAAACATGATCACCACAGCTACCAGCTTAAGAAATAATACAGTTTTTGCCCTTGTGTCCCTTTTTCTTCTTGGATTTAGTTGTCCTCTGACCAAACTGAGGAGTAGGGAGCGCAGAAGTTGGACTAGAAAGGTCGTCTGTATAGTAGGCGTATCTCTGTGGCCGGGGCTGAGGAATTGGTTGTCCAAGAAAATATCCTTCTTCTTCTGAGTCGGAGGAGGAGGTGGAGGAGGAACACCAGGAATCGTCGTCCTCCCCATAGAGTCCCAGAAACCTGTGCACTCCCGGGTTCTGCAGGGCGTAGTCGGAAGTGGCATGGGCATACTGTCCATAGAGATCGGCATTCTGGATGTATGCTTGGATCTCCCGGGCACTCTTATTCTGTATAAATTTCTCATAACTGTCGGGGGTGTAAAGCCGCAGTCTGTCCTTGGGAGAGTATTTTCTTTCTGTAACAAGATTCAGGGCGTTGTCAGAGCGGGACTTCCTACTTCTCCTGCGGCGATGGTGATGAGACCTGGATCCCCTCTCTTCGAAATGGTAGACCCGTCTCCGAGTCCTCTCGCTCATTGGAGGCTGCCGGATTTCAATGTTGTCATAGTTTCCATTGTCAATGACATCATCCGAAAACTTGACCTGCTGTGGTCTGGACTGAGACTTGGATCTTCTGAGCACAGGCAGATGTACGGGTTTCTCCTCAGGCATGATTTTTTCTGGACACAACTCTGAACTTAGACTCTTCAAGGACTCTGCACTCCTGTGCAGCATGGAAGAGTTCAAAGTCCCCATATTGCTCATTTTCTCACAATCTTCTGCTTCCATTTCCTCGAAGTTTTGCAGAGAATATAATGACGGCCTTGGCTTACTTTCTCCATCCACCGAAGCTCCTAGAAGAAAAGCCAAGACAAGATGTGATTCTCAATAATCCTAATATTCTGACAATTATTATACACAAGCTACAGAAAGGAAGCATTTCAAAGACAATTCTCCCAAATTTCAATACTTAACACCCAGTAGGTAAAGCCAATGTGCATATACACTGAACTGAGAAGAGGGATAAATTTTGTTATTGATACAAGGGGCATAGCCCCTCTTATGAACCCAGCTGTTTTGGAACCAGTTATAGCACATGGCATGAGCAGCCAAAATGTAAAAGCTCTTCATAAAAGTCCCATTGTTAGTTTATTAACATGACATGTAGAAGCTTCTGCCTCTGAATCCATTAAAGCCAGACTGCTTCATTTCAACAGCTCTCAAATCAGTCCCTTTCTTTGCATCCACATGGCCACCATGATGGTCCTCCTCCTATACCTAGATTAATGGTTGGCAACCCACAGCCCAAGGGCCAATCCAGCCCACAGCCTACTTGTGGATAAAGTTTCACTGGAACACAGCCACATCTATTCGCTTACATACTGTCTGTGGTTGCTTTCTACAATGACAGCATTGAGTAGTTGCAACGGACACTCTAAGGCCCAAAAAGTACTATCTAGCCTTTTACAGAAGTTTGCCACCCCGACCTAGAGCTTCATCCAGGCTTCTTCCCCTTCAACCCCTAAAATGATATGCCACTTCCAGATTCATCTTCTTTTAAAACTTCACTCAAAACTGATATTGCTCTCCTTTGCTATAAAAGGGCCCAGGCGGGGCTGGCCCCGTGGCCGAGTGGTTAAGTTCGCGCGCTCCGCTGCAGGCGGCCCAGTGTTTCGTTGGTTCGAATCCTGGGCGCGGACATGGCACTGCTCGTCAAACCACGCTGAGGCAGCATCCCACATGCCACAACTAGAAGAACCCACAACGAAGAATATACAACTATGTACTAGGGGGCTTTGGGGAAAAAAAGGAAAAAAATGAAATCTTTAAAAAAAAAAAAAAAAGGGCCCAGGCAAGTTAAGATAAACGGATACAACCCAGCAGACTGTAAAGGACAATAGGGAGTGGGGCGGACTCCTGACTACTAGAGACTACAGAACTTCCTACTTGCTAAAGGGAACCTGTTGTTCATCCCATGACTGTCAAGAAATGTCAGCCTAACACTTTATGTGCACCAAATGATGTCTATTTTTGATATTAAATGTTAAAACACCTATCAGGGCCTGGCAAACAGGAGGTATTTAATAATGTAGTCTCATCCACCATGCCACAACTCCCCTTTGTTGTAGGTGTTATCTTTGACATGTCCAGCAGAAGCCAGGAGGGCAGCTGTCTTATCCCTCCTTGCCCCTGCAGCACCTGGCACAGCGTCATTCCTGGCTGGGGGCAGCTGCTAAAGCCCTTCCTGTCTATGGTACAGCAACAGAACCTTTGTGAAAGGACTGGATGTCATTCCTCTGGCCATAACCCTAGCCCTGGAACAGCAGGCATCCAAAGCCTTAAGTGCAAATATGAGATTCAGAAGGGCTGGGTTCTAGGCTCAACCTTGCCTTTAAAGATTTTATTTTTTCCTTTTTCTCCCCAAAGCCCCCCCGGTGCATAGTTGTGCATTCTTCGTTGTGGGTTCCTCTAGTTGTGGCATGTGGGACGCTGCCTCAGCGTGGTCTGATGAGCAGTGCCATGTCCGCGCCCAGGATTCGAACCGACGAAACACTGGGCCGCCTGCAGCAGAGTGCGCGAACTTAACCGCTCGGCCACGGGGCCAGCCCCCAATCTTGCCTTTAAAAACCTGTGTAAAGTTGGGCATTTAGCGTCTTGGTAATTCAAATTTCCTCATTTGTAAAATGCAATAATAGCCACCCTGTACAGCTCAGGGTCATTTTAAAGGTAAAATGGATAACTGAAAGGAATGTGCTTTGAAAACAAAGTGAAATTATTTTATAATCTGGGTAAAAAATACTTAGCTATTTTTGAGCTATCTGTGGCCACAGGGCAATTCAGGAAAATATAAAAAACATCATGAGCTTATAAAGGGCGCAGGCTGATTTTAATTTCTTAAAATTCATAGAGCATGATCCAAAGAGTCCAGTATCTTTCAGATACAGATACAGACTCCATTATCTAGATAAATCGATTTCCTCCTCCTCAAAACAGGGATAATAAAAGCTGCCCTAAAAGACTGCACTGAAAATATATTTTACATATATGCACACACATGCAGACATCTTGTTTTTTTCACATTTAACTGAAACTCTTCCTTCCTTCCCTTGGTCTACAGTTTTAACTAACATAGCCCCTATTGGTGCTGAACTGTAATTTTTGGAATAAACTTTTTAGTGGCTCCTTTTTCAAACACCCCATAATCCCTGGATTATGTACCTGTGATATTAGACAAAGCCAAAGAATCCATGGAATCCCGAACACTATGCTCTGGTTTCAAGTCTGACAAACACTCCAGGGAATCCTCATACCACTGTGTTTGATCATGATTATATCCCGCAGCCCCATGGTCCAGATCTAGTTCCTGGAGCCTCCTACTGCTTGCAGGCCCTGGGTGGCTGCCATAAGCAGAATCGCCCAGTCCATCTTGTGACTGTGCCCAATACATATCAGATTGGTACTTTTTACTTGCAAGGCTCTGGTTATTTTGCTTTAATTCAGTCTTATTTTTAACCATGTTATCAGATATCCAATGCTCACTGGCTCGAATATCCATCTCATTGGGCTGCTGCTGAAAGAGGCTTTTATCACCAAACTTGAGGAGGAGCTGCGTCATATAATCTTCATGCTCAGCCCATTCTTCAGGGTCTTCTGGGGTTTCGTGCTCTACTCTGCCTTTCCAAAATTCTTCATTGACAAAACTTGCTCCTTGCCTGGAGAGACTCAGATCATCTAGTTTCCGAGAAAGGGTGTCGTCAGCATTGCCTGAAAGGCCAGGAAACTTGTAATTCAGAGCGGGGGACAAGAGGAGAGACTGCCTACACTGATCCGCTGACCGACTGCTTTTGCCCATCCGGACACTTCTTCTGGAGTCCCTTGATCGAGCTGACTGAAATGCAGAGTCCGAAGAATCAGAGGCATGGACGTCTTCACCAAGGCTGCAGGTTTTTGAGCAATAAATCTGACCTTGTTTGGGAAGGAAGGGACACCCCAGTAAAGAGGCTTTACACTGGGCACAAGAAAAGCAGGCTTCTGTGGCATGCCAGTGCTGCCCGTCGTAGGTCATCTGTGCATGGTCGACACCTGTTTTGAACAAGGATAGAATAGCAGGTTATATAGTTCAATGCTTGAAACACAAGAACAAAGAAACAGAGAGACGAAAGACTGTGGGCATGAGGGAAGTCTCAGAGGTGATGGAAATGCTCTGTATCTTGATGGGGTATGGGTTACACCGGTACAGTTAATTCTCATCCCTCGCAGATTCCGTATCTGTGAATTTGCCTACTTGCTAAAATTTATTTGTAACCCCCAAAATCAACTTGCAGAACTTTCAAGGTCATTTGCAGACACGTGCAGAGTGGCAAAAAGTTTGAGTCGAGACGCATGTTCCCAGCTGAGGTCACATAAAGGGGCACTGTGCCTTCTGTTTCAGCTCTTATACTTTAAACAAGTGACCAGTTAGTGCCATGTTTTCTTCGCATTTTTGTGCTTTCTCTTGGTGATTTTGCTGTTTAAAAAGGCCCCCAACCGTAGTGCTGAAGTGCTGTCTAGGGTTCCTAAATGCGAGAAGGCTGTGATGTACCTTACAGAGGAAATCCATTCGACAAGCTTTGTTCAGGCATGAACTATAGTGCTGTTGGCTGTGAGTTCAATGTTAATGAATCAACAATACATATTATATACAGTGTCTTTAAACCCAAACACACATGAAACAAGATTATATACTGATTGGCTGATGAAAATGTTGTGACCAGAGGCTCGCAGGAACCTAACCCATATTTCCCTGAGGAGCAAAGATTCAGTACTCAATAATTCAGTGTTCAAGGTGACTTTACAGAACGTAACTACCACAAATAATGAGAATCGACTATACAGCCATTTATCAAAACTCACCAAATGGAAACACTTAAGATCTGTACATTTCACTATATGTAAATTATGCCTTGATTAAAAAAAAAAAAATGACAGTGGATAATCATAGACAAATGGATAAGTGAGAGCAGACAGGCCAGGCTATGGACTTACCAATATGCTCCCCACAGGTTTCACAGTACTCGGCATACAGAGACTCAAAACAGCCACAGCAGAACGGGCGGCCATCCTTCATGATGTACCTCTGTCCGCCGAGGACCGTTTCACACTCAAGGCAGCAGAAGTGTTTCATGTGCCAATGGCGACCCTCAGCTTCTGTGCACTCATCAGCAAAAATTATCTTTAAAAAGAAATATGAAACCATAGGGTGAAAGAAAATCATTGTCAGCTATTTTAAAGACCAAGTAACTGCAATTTCTGGGCAACTGACACTAGCTCTTAAAAAAGTCACTTAGATAGCTAACCTTGTTTCTCACAGTCTCCAGCTTAAATCTAACTTGATCTAGCTGCAATACAAGAGCAGAAAATTTAAATGTTGGGGGAAAAAAAAAACTAAGTGCTTGCTTAAACTTTAAAAAAACAAAACAGGGCTGGCCCGTTGGCCAAGTGGTTAAGTTCACGTGCTCCACTTCAGCAGCCCAGGGTTTCACGAGTTCAGATCCTGGGGGTGGGCCTAGCACTGCTCATCAGGCCATGCTGAGGAGGTGTCCCACATAGGAAAACTAGAAGGACCTGCAACTAGAATATACAACTATATACTGGGGGGCTTTGGGGAAAAGAAGGAGGGACGAAAAAAAAAAGATTGGCAACAGATGTTAGCTCAGGTGCCAATCTTTAAAAAACAAACGAATAAATAAAAATAAAAAATAAATAAAAATAAAAAAACAAGACAGATTTCTACATTGGAGGTAATACATTTGGTTATATTTTTGCTCCCCCAATCACACTTTGTTGTATAATCTGGCAAAGAATACATCACCATTGAAATAATTTAGTGGTCTGTGCGTGTTTTAATGGAAAGAAAACTCAAAAAAATGTGCGGAGTCCACACAGTTACAGCTATCCAGATGCTGGATTGTGTGAACAGCACTTGTGTACATAATGCTTCATTTGACCTGATGGCCATCTCCAGATTAAGGACTTTATTTTATTTCTTTAAACATTGGCATCTGAGCTAACGACTACTGCCAATCTTTTTTTTTTTTTCTGCTTTATCTCCCCAAATCCCCCCTGGTACATAGTTGTATATCTTAGTTGCAGGTCCTTCTAGTTGTGGCACGTGGGACGGCCGCCTCAACGTGGCCTGACGAGCGGTGCCATGTCCGCGCCCAGGATCCAAACCAGCGAAACCCTGGGCTGCCACAGCAGAGCACATGAACTCAACCACTCGGCCACGGGGCCGGCCCAGGACTTTACTTTTTATATTTTGGTTTCAAAAAAATTTCAGGGGCCGGTCCCTGTGGCCGAGTAGTTGAGTTCACGTGCGCCGCTTTGGCGGCCCAGGGTTTCACTGGTTCGGATCCTGGGTGCGGACATGGCACCACTCATCGGGCCATGCTGAGGTGGCATCCCACAGAGCACAACCAGTGACACTCACAACTAGAATATACAGCTATGCAATGGGGGCCTTTGGGAAGAAAAAAAAAAAAAATGATTGGAAAGAGTTGCTAGCTCAGGTGCCAATCTTAAAAAAAAAGAATTTCAAATAGCAAATCATTGAAAAAGCTTCAAAAATAAATAAATGCATGAAAGTAACAAGGGAAAGTTTACTGTCACTGATTGAAGGAGACTAAGGAGATACAACGAATGAATTCAATGAAGTACCCTGGATGGGATCTCGGAAGAGAAAAGAGCCATTAGTAGAAAAACTGGGGAAATCTAAATATAGTCTATAGTTTAATTAATAGTATTATGCCAATGTTAATTTCTTGGTTTCAATGCATATACCATGGTTATGTAAGATGTTAACAAAGGGGAAGCTGGAAGAAGGGCATGTAAGAACTCGCTCTAATATCTTTGCAACTCTTCTTTTCTGTGAATCTAAAAATACTTTAAAATAAAAAGCTTAAGGAAAAAAAAATTTCCTTTCACACCATCATCCGTTCCCACATGCCCCGGAGATAACCACTGTTAACTTAGAGTATGTCTTTCTGTATAGTTTCTGAGTGTGTACAAATTCATATACAATCTTGTTTTTCTCCTCCTTTATGTAACAGAAACAAGACCATTTACTACATACTCTTCTTGCAACTTGTTTTTTTCCTCACAGTCCATCAAGGATACCCTACTTTTCAATACACAAAGACCCCTGCTGCCTTCTCTTCGTTAGCCACATATTATTCCATTGCCTCAATGAATGTACAGGGTTATCTTGAAAATATACAAACAGAGCACAAGCAGGAGATAGTTCTATTTTGCTTAGGTGTGAACAGTGGAATATTGGCTTACTAGAAGCTTATTTTTTCCAGTGTTAACGGGTGAACTTTTTTTTACCTCATCACATGCTGAACACCGTGGCTTGAGCAGTTCAGCGTGGTGCCTGCCACAGTGAATTTTTCCATCCTGGTAAAAATAGATGAGGTCGACCAGCAGCTCGTTACACGTGAAGCAGACAAAACAGGATGGGTGCCAGCATATTCCAGGGCCCGCGCGAGAGGCAAACACTGCAATTTCACCTCCATTTATCTTCAACCCACACTAAAAACAAAAGGATTGGAATTTAAAATGATCCTTTTTTAACAACTGGATTCTCAGCCTTTCCCACTTCACACTAAATCCCAAATTTGTCAGGGGATCTTTTATTTTTGTCTCCTCCTGTTAGTGATTAAATAGCTCTTTAATGCAGGATTATTTGTGAGTCTCAACTGGAAGGAACAGGCCTCAGATATACCACCACACTAGACTCTTCTAAGAACGCTTCCATCTGACTCACATTAAGCGTGGTTTTCCTGAGCCGGCCTCCTGTTGGATACGTTTCCTACTCTGAGCATGGCCAGGGAGGATCTGGATGTCTTCAGTATGTCTCTGCGTTTTTTGAATACTAGGTGTACCCTACCTCCTCCCTCCCTGCCAGGATCCTACGAAAGGCAGGATTTCCCCGGATGTTTACCAGAAGGGCAGACTGCTTCCCCCGTCACCCCCAGCAGTGCAGCCAGTTATAAACATGAATCCCCATTTAATATAAAGCTAGGCTGCCTTTCTTTCTCTTTGGCTTTCAGGGTCCACACCTGTGCCAGCCCTGTCACCTCCCCTCGGCTTGCTCCATCCACACCACTCCCACGAGCTGCTCATCCTTGAAAGGGCTACCTGCTCACACACAGCGTGCATGACTGCTCTGGACAAGAGTTTAATCGTTCCCCTTCCAAGCGCTTCCTTCTTCCGCTGAGCACTGAACACCTGCAATTCTTTTTTCTCCTCTTCGCTCAAAGACTGGCAGTACCGCACCTTCAGAGAAGGGGAAACAGAAGCACTACACTGGAGCGCAGTCTCCCTCACCGATTCTTTCTTCCCAGAGTCAGAGCTTCAGGAAATAAAACAGCAGGTTTATCTGGCCTGCCCTCGAATCTCCAATTTAAAAATGACACCATACTTTTGAAATGACACTAAATCTTGCAGCCTCTCCAGCAAGAGGGAAGTGCTATTTGAAAGAACGGTCTTTTCCTTAAAATATGAAAAAGTGGCCAGCCCAGTGGCCTAGTGGTTAAGTTCACAGGCTCCACTTCGGCCGCCTGGGGTTCAGGAGTTCAGATCCCGGGAGCGAACCTACACTCCGTTCATCAAGCCATGCTGTGGAGGCATCCCACATACAAAATAGAGGAAGACTGGCACAGAACTTAGCTCAGGGCCAATCTTCCTCACACACACACCAAAAACAAATGAAATGTTTAATTTAAACTCTTATCAGCAGAGATACTGAAAAAATGTAAGACATTAACCTTTCCACAAAAGGCTTAAACTTGTGAATTGCCACTTTCACCCTCTAGTCTACGGGCATTCAACTCCACTGCAGGCTTGAACCACCAAGAAGCTTGACTCTAGATGAAGGCGCAGGGAAAGCTCAGGAATTTGTGGGCTCCTGATAATTGCAGGGTAGCTGCAAACACTGTAAAAACCAAGTTGTGTTAAGTTCATTGCACTGACACCCTTTCTCCCTAAAAGAATGGAAAGCTGTATTCTCCAGCCGAATCTTAATGGAAGAAGGCAAAAGAGAGCCCTAGCCAGTGAGGAGCTGGGGTTTATGGGAGGCATCTTGATGCTTGGCACGGATTTCTTTTCCTAATGAGCCTTCTTCCTGTTATTTTACCTCATTATCATGTGGTGGCAACTGGTACAAAAGCTGTTTAATTCGATGCTTCTCTCCAGGGCTGTTGACATAAGGAACCTTTTCCTCCGGTAAGCAAGCAAAATAGAGCTGGATCTGAGAAGGAGATGGAGAGAAGGACATCGGCACACAGGAAGTGAACAACTTGGCTTATATTCCATCTTAAATAGTTACCTTTCCCTTTAGGTGCAGGTTTGGCCTCCTGCAGCTAATGAGAAGACCAGCTGAGCCAACCCAGGAGAACCATAAACCTTCAGAGAGCTAGCACCCAGCTGCTAAATTGCTCTTCAGGAATGTAAGTGGTAATGACAATTAGGGGCATCATAAATTATGTGCCATAAAATATGCACATTTAATGCTACTATTCTTTAGTCACTCTCCCTAGGGTCAGCCAAGAGAGAGTCCTGGGTGAGTGCTACAAATGACCACACAGGCTGTGTGACACTGTCCAAAATCCAGCCACTACACAAACACACTGACTTTGCTCTCTGAATTTTACACTGTTACAGAGACAAAAGCTGTTTTGTTAAACTTTGTAAACTCTCCCTTATCAGGTTCTCTCAAGCATCAGCTTTCTTTGCTTCCATGGGTGTTATTTTCCAAATACTTGGAGTCAATTTCCCCAAGGAAACTGGAGGGGAGCCATATTGAGCTGTACTTAGTTCACTTTGAAAGGAGAACTCAATTTTTGTTTGCTTTGGGTTTTTTTCCTGTTGTATTTAAAGGACCATCCCTTAATGAGTACTGCATAGGACACTATAGCACTAAGAATGAAAGCGATTTAAGGAAAAAGATGGGAGATTAGGGAATTTGGAGCTTATCTGCTTTAATATCTTAGTATCACACAAACCTACCTTATCCTAAGCTTCAAGAAAGGATTCTCTCTTAGTAAGCAGTTTGTTAAAACATTGCCTTCCTAGCTGGTGTGCCCACATCTCACCCTCTCCCCACTGTATCAGCTACATAAGCTTTTACACTTATAAACACTTACTGAATACCAGCTCCGTGTGTGCCAGGGACTGTGCAAGGCCCCGGATGAATAAAGACCCCCTATTCTCAAGAGTTCCCACCATATAGGAGACAAGCACAACTGAGAAGGGGCCAAGTGGGTGTGTAGTTGCTTCGCTTTCAAACTATGCCTTGGCTCTATAATAACATCTATCACCAGCAATTTTTAACAAGTTTATCATTATCAGGAGATTGAGAAAATAAAAAGAGGCATATAGAATGTTCTCATCTTCCTTAAAATAACAATACAAAGCAAGCACAAAATTAGCTCTTAAATTTTTTTTCTAATCCACGCTGTGTGGTGACAGATTCTCTTATGTGCGAGGTTATCAAATGTGAAATGTGTAAGCAACAACACTTCCAATGGTTTCTTACAGCTCAGTGTTTCCTCTCTTGCAAAGCAGAAGTGTGGCTGAGAACTGGCCTGGAAACTTTGCTTTTCTTTTATTACCTTTTTGTTGTTACTGAAGTTTTTAAACAAGCAAATTTCTCTCACTCTCTCCAAAGGGACTCTCAGAAATTTACATAACAAATGCATATAAGTACCCTGGATTTCATTCATTGGAGCAAAAAATAGCATCATTATTGGTGCTTCCGGATCCATGAGTACAAAAAGGATTGAAAAATTCCTTTGAGAAACTAAGTACAACCTTAAAAAGCAAAAATTTAAAACTATCCCAAAGCAGAGTGGGGACGGAGGAGGGGAGCAGGTCAGCATGGCACTGACATTCGATAAATTTGTTTTTAATTCTTAAAAAATCTTAAATCACATTGAAAAACAGAAAACACAGGATTAGGTTCCCACCTGCTCTGGTCTGAGGCCCGGGGGCACCCAGGCGTACTCCTCCAAAGCACAGCCAGAATCGTCGTCTGACGTGGAACTTCGCTGGCACCCAAAGGCGAGTTTGCTCATTTTGGGCTCCATCTCCAAAGGCATAACAATCAAGTTAAAAGCCGTTTTCTTAGTCACAGGACATCAAACAGTGGCTGCTGTGGATAAAATAAGAAAAAACAAAGAAATTGAAAACCTGAAGACATTCCTCTTACTCTCCAAGAGCTTTTATTGAATGCTTGTTTACACACAGCTGGGACCCAGAGAAAGTCACCAAATTACTAGTGTCCCCACCCCCAGGCCCAGTGAAACTTAAAATCCAGGGCCACCCAATTCAGAAACAGCCCCCTGACCAGCTCAGCATTTTAGAAAATGCCCCCAAAACTAGTTTAGTTCAGTTGCCTTTAAAAGGTGCCGCTCTACACACTGTTCATTAGAAGGGTTCTCAAGAAAATTGCTTTGGCTTTCTAGCTTGCCCACAGATGAGACCCCCTTGAAGTCTTGGGAGGGACTGTACCTGCTCCGGCCTTGTCCGCCACTATGTGCTGGGAAAAATGGCTCCACAGACCCTCCTCCGCTCCCCCATGTTTCCTATCAATTTTCCCAGCGGAGGCACTGCCGCCTGCAGCGAGTGGGTTCACTGGGCCAAGCTGCTTAGGTTTCAGGTTTCTGATCAAGTTTTGAGAGGCACTAGACTCAGTTTACTCACGGAGTAGAAACAGCACAGGTGAAGCCTTACATAGCACATTAAATCCACAAGCCTTTACTATCTGCGGGCTAACGTCAGCCAGATGTTCACTGATGAGTTCCTTCAACAAAAAGTAACAAATCTAAGCACTAGGTTAAAACAAAATGCGGCTTGCTGACTATTAGTGCCGAATCGCATCCTTAGCAGGCACTCACAGAATGGTCATGTGGCGCCTACTGTGTGCGCTGTGCTATCAGCCTGCTGCTGGGCAAAGTGAGCTGTAAATCCTGCTCTGAAGGAAAAGTCTTCTCAGATGAAGGGCCGTGTCTACACAACAGTCACTGCCCTACCACCCAGGAGCTTTGCTACCACCATTTATGTTCCTTCTAAGTCTCTTCTGATTCTTAACTCATCCCTCATCCCAAGACACTAAGAAGAAAACAAGACACAAGACTTTCAAAATCAGATGCAGCTTTTTATACCTGCCCCTTTTCCTCCACCAAAAAAAGAAAGAAAATTACAGATAATTAGCCTAACCCAATTTTAGAGAAAACAAGGCTCAGGGAAGTTAAGTGACTTGCCCAAGGTGACATAGCTAAAAGCCAGAGTCTAGTCACACTCCATACCTGACACATCAGACTTCCAGAAATTCTTCTGCCTTCACAAATTCTCGCTTGTTTAAACAAGTAGGAAAGACAGAAAAACCTAAACATTTTCACCCTGAGACGTAAGTTATTTCTCAGCAACTATCGAATGCAACCCTAAATACTTACAGTATTAGAAAACACTAGTATTAGAAAAATAGCATTACAACCTACGATTACTAAAACTTAGTTTTTCTTTTATAAATCAAAGGCAATAAAAAACTTCAAGTTGTAACAGTTCCCCATCCAATGGCTACAATCTTTATTAGCAGTAGGAACAATGCCACACAGTAGATATTATTCCAACTAATAAATTTAACTTTCATTCACCCTGAACAAAAAGTAAAGATGACCTCATTTCCTACACTACCATTGGGAGGTTACGACCTTTTAAACAAGTCATCATTTCACACAGGTGCAATTCATTCATGTCTCGACTTAGGAAAGGCTTTCTAAACACAGGCACATTCCTCTTAGCCCTCAATAAAAAAGGATGTGTTAATGAAAGTCAGAAAATTTCTTGGATCTAGTCTTTCCCTTTTGTTTTGAAAAAAACAACTCCCACATGTCAAAGGAAGAGAACTAGAGGTTAAGAATTTAATTAGTAACTCAAAAACCCCCACCAGGAGAACAGGGTGCCTTCAGTGCAATTTAACCTGAATCATGAAATATGCACATTTGTCCTTTGCCAAATCCAGCTGAGAAGGGAGACAGTGAGGTACCTGCTCTGCAGAAACTTACAAAGAACATAAATATTAAATAGAACCTAAAAACTAAATGTCACTATATATAAAAGAAGAGAAAACACTACAAATTAAGACAAGTGATGGATTTTCCGAGCTAGCACAAAGACGCAGATTGCCGAAGATGTGAATTACTCTTACAGCTGTATTTCTTGATTAGCCTTTTGTGAAAAATGTACAGTAAATTACTATCCTAATCAAGGTAAATCAACTTTAGCAACTAAATGCCACAATCCCCCTCCCAATCATCTGGATGTACTGGTCACATCTCAAGCCCACAACTCCCACACGCTCATTCCAGCCTTTCCACAAACGACACTGAGGCCTGTCATCCATCAGCAACGTGAGGAATATGACTGAAGGAACGTGAGTGACAGTTATTTTTACCACAGGCATGGCTTTCAGTTTCACTTGTTGGCACTCCAAGAGCTAACCTACTCCTTCTGCCTAGCCTGGCATCATTACTGTTATGACATTTAATCACCGTATCAAGCAACCCAATGAAGGCCTAGCTCCCTTAACAGCAGAGGAAGCTGAGCCTCAGAGCAATTTGCCACAGGTCAACTGTCCACGTTCAGTAAGTTAACAAGCAGTGGCCTTAGAACTGGGCCTCTCTGTGATCTGAAATCCCTACATCCCGGCCCCGCCTCCTGGGGGTGGAAGCTGATTGAGCCAATGCCTTTTCTTTGGAGAACTACCCATGCTACTGCGCGAGACAGGAAAAACGATGTAACTGATGGGAGGCAGCCCGCTTTGCCCAGAGAAGGCATTTCAGGGAGAACCTACAGTCAGAAAGGGTTATGAAAATTCAGCGGCCTCACTCCGAGTTTATTCTTTGGAGAAAGCCTCTCTTTTTCTTTTATATCACAAGGTAACTTAAAATGACAAAACATTACATTTATTAGCAAGGTCTCAGAGCTGACCAAAAAAGAAACATCACAAAAGCGAAAGTTACACAGCCTGACCCCGACTTACCAGGCGGTGGTAAGAGATGCTACCCTATATTACTAACCACTTTTTCTTTACTTGATAACAAAAAGACTTGAATTTGGGTTTTTCCTTTTTTAAATTACCTGTACCTGTCAGCAGACCCAAAGAAGTATATGACTGTCTCATCCTATGTCGTAGGAAAGCAGTTGACTGCTCTGGGTCATGATGAAGGGTCTTCCTAATAACATGTAAGTATGACTGTTCTTGGTCTGCCAAAATACCACCTTTTAGGCCAAACAGGAAACCATGGGTGAATTAGATCTAACAGAAAAATTCCATTAATTTCATTTCCAGGGGTTGTCTCATAAGGTTGATCACATGATATAGGGACACATCAGTTTTACATGTGAGTTGAATTACAATGAAATTGAACTATTCAAAGTCCGGGTTATGAGATAGAGTGAAACATTTTTTCAATTTTTTTTTTTTTTTTTGCAGAACCGGACTTAGATGGACAAGACTGGCTGTCCTGTGCCCCTTCCTTTATTTATTTTCTATGTTATTTACTTATTTTTGTAACTTTTTATTTTGTAATTTCAAACTTTAGAAGAGATGCAAGAAGAGTAAGGCACTGCTATCCAGCCTGCACCCAGACTCATCAAGAGTTCACATTTTGCTTCATTTGCTTTATCCTCCTCTTCCTCTTTCGGACAAACATACACACACTTCTGTGGGAACCATTTGAGAGTGTGTATTTTTTAGATTCTCCTAACCACAGTTAAATTAAACATGATCTCTTTAAAAAAATATATATATATAAAAAAACCAAACACCAACTATGTGCAAGGCATCATGTTAGATGCTGGAGAGAAACAGAATAAAAAGCCAAAATAGCTCAAACCCGTATTCTGTGATTATAATTCTGGATATAAATACATCTCATCATGCAGGGAAAAGTAAAATAGTTTTTATGGGTTTGTTCACATTCCAAACAGAGTCCAACTATGAAGGAAATGTGCTGAGGAAGCAACACCTTTAAGATCTAACAACACCGTCAAAGATGGCACTGAGGTCAAGCACAGAGAAGAGGGATCTGAACTAAATTTGAGCAGGTGATGAGTTATTTGCAGGTACTATTTTGAAGAGATGACTAAAAGCCGACTATAAAAGTCAAGGAGAGAAATGAATAACAAACAGAAGAAAAAGGCAGGGACGCAAGGGAGGGGAGAAAGAAGTCTGTGGTCAGGTAGAGAAAGATGAGATACTTTTTTCTTAGAAAGACAAGCAGTATCGTGGGAGTAAGTCCAGGGAAGCCAGCCGATAAAGTGGAAGAGTTCCATTTCCCTCCTTTGTCCTTTCTCTCCCTTCTTCCTTCAAAATAGTTAAACAGCCACTTCTCACCACTTAGACTCAAGGACAAACAGCTCGCAGATGTCCGACTTCTCAATCATCATATAATTGTCAAGAGAACATCTGACACAGGGGAGAGAGCAATACTTAGGGAATGGAATCTGGTGCTTGCAGCATTCAGTAAACTCAGCCCTGAAGTCTTCATGCCTTTGACAAGGCACCAGACATCTTGGGGCCTGGTTCTTTAAAAACGCCAACCATATTCCTTCCAAAGACAGTCTAAGGACATGGAAGAGTCTTAAAGAAAAGAATTATATGAACATAACGAGTTAGTGTTACTACTGACATGGACCAGTTGGCATTGTTACTTCCACTGTGACTACACAGATTTTCTTGAAGCTGACCAGCACATCCGGCATAAGAATAACGTGTTAATAAAAAAGACCGAATGTTGATATGCGAGTTTCAGCATCTTTGTGAGTTGGGAAGGGGCTCTAGCTTTCTGAAGGGCGAACAGTTTTGCCAAACTCTTGGCCACCATTCCCAGCTCTCTTGCAATCAGCTTCTAACCAGTCCCTACATAGAACCTTTGACACCAGCACACACAGCACGCATGGGCACATGCATGTGTGCACGCACGCGCGCACACACACACACACACACACACACACACACGCAGCAGTTTAACCGTCTATGGAGCATGGCAGGGTCTTTCCAGTTGACCTAGGGAGAGCACCAACTGTGAGGACCCAGTGTATGCTTGGTTGTGAGGGGACACTTGGTCCTCAAATTAGACTGTGGTCTCATTCATCCAATGCAGTGATGTAATGAGTGGTTCCTCATGAAATTTACTTTCCAGATTCATTCACTCCATTCATTCATTCATTCTATTTACAGACCATTACTGAGCAATTCTGGGAGATATCAAGAAAGCAACTGACATTTATTCCATTAAAAGCCAGAACTTAAAAAGCATCCACTGTGATAGAAATGTTTCCAAATTCCATTATACATTTCCTTGCTTTCTTTAATGGTGGTATGTGTGTAAATTATATGTGACCTAGCTTCTGGCTGTTTAGATTTGTTTTCATTTTGAGTAGAAAACAATCAGTAGAAAGAACACTGGCTTCAGGACTCAAGGAACAGGAGTTTTAATCCAGCCAACCAGCTGGGTGTGACCTGGGAACCTAGTTCCTCAACTAGAACATGCGGGGTTCAGGGATATCTCACCACATAGAGCTGATATCCAGAAATGCATGGCCCCAGACCCAGGACTTTAAGATGCCTGAGAAAGTTTGTATTGTTATTTTCCTCCCTGCTCTCATGATCTTTGGATTCTTGTTACTTCAGTCTCTTCTGGAGTAAGTTCGTAGCCTTTCCCCCTTGTCCACAACCAACCTCCTCCAAATCTTTTTTAATGTGTTGCTTTCAATATTCTGTAGATTAGGCAATTACAGTTTGAAAAAATTTGTCTGAAGTACATAGAACAATTACTTTGTGGACAAAGGCTCACGCCTCCTCCAACAAGCAAAGTAATCACTGGTGAAATAAGGTAACACACAGTATGTGAAGCTGTTACTGAAGGTAAACAGCAGCTATATTATCTTGCTGTGCTATCTTGGTCACGTGGGGTCATTTATTTTCTACAGATTGTCTGCTGCATCCAGAATGGCTAAGGATTATTATTTTGATTGACCTTGACATACACATAAACAAGCCTTTACTATTTTTCCCTAAACAGCTTAATAAGTCAGCACAGCAGACATAGGTGCAGAGGCAGTGAAGAGTCGACAGTTTCAATGGAAGACGGATTCTTCCAAAGAAGCAATGGCAATGGTAGCACAGAGTAAGATTTTCAAGAGTTATACACACCAGGTGGAAGACTTCGGACCTAACCCTACAGGCAATAGGAAACAACAATGAATAGGAGGGTGCCACTCCTGGTCTTAAAATATGATAGTGATGGTCAGGAGAGAGAAAAGGAACCTGGGGAGGGCCTAATAGCCCAGTGTCACCAAGAGAGCCTAAACATGGTGGCTTAGGGAGAGAAAGTAAAAGGAACCAATAAGAAAGGGGAAACTGAGTCAAAAATAGTTGAGTCTTAGGTGATTGAAAGACGAAGAACCAATATGGAAATACTACATAAGCAAGTCAGAAAGGGAATGAGAATTTGAGGGGGTTGAGGAGAATGAGTTCAATCAGATACATATTGAGGTTAAAGCTGTACATCAGTTCTGGTATGGTTCCTATTATTCATCATTTTCTTGGACCAAGTCACCAAATCAAATCAAAATCATGCAAATAGAAAGCAGAATAATTTTCAGTGCCTGCCATTGAATACGAAGTGTAAGGTCATACTCCTAATTACAAATACTTTTCCCAATGTAATTCCACTCTAGTTCCTATGAGAAGACTACCATGGCATTGCAGGATCCCTAGGAAAAAGTCTTTCTTGTGTGAACATGCCCAGGGACGTCAGAAATCCTTTGATCACCAAAAACCAGAACAGATACTGATTTGTAAAGTCAGTTGGGCTAACATTCCCTAGGTGTCCCCTGCTGCTAAGTGCCATCCAGTGGGCCACAAACTGCTTAACAACTTCTTTGTTAAACTGCTTGTTAACAAGGCCTTAGGACATAGAAGATGCAGATCACACACCCCCATTCAAAAGCTGCTCTAATTCTGCCAGGCTACATATGCAGGTGAATTAAATTTACCCACTAATTTGACAGGAGAGAGACCTGCTACACTTCCATTCTTTTCAACACACAAAATATATTACCCTAACGGATACATGTATTTCTGTGTTTATGGTGTCCTTCACTTAAAACTTAAAAAAAAAAAATGCAGAGACCTTTAAAAGTCATAGGTATCAAAACTATTACAATCAAGATTTGATTTTCACAGGAAAAAGAGAGTAAACTGTTACCTCTTTAAAGCTGTCACACACCCAAAGAGCACTCAATGCCTATTGTCTGCTAAAGACAAAAGTCAGGGCCAACAGAGTCCAATTCAATTATACTGAAATGAACTGGAAAGATAACTGTAAAATAAAAACATCATGAGGTATCCGGAGATATTACTCAGAAACATTCCTTCACTAAAACGACCTCCTACCAATTAGTGGCATTAGGCCATATGCCCTTTGGCACTTGCTCTATTTTCCAGGTAAACCTCCATCCAACTCGTACATTTTCCGACAGCTGAGTGGCCTGTCACGTACCATCCAATTGCCAAGAAGCTCTCCATTTTTCCAAGAGGAAATGTGCACTCTGCAGGGTTTCAAAGCATTCTAATTTCATGCACAAATACATTCCACGACAGTAAGACAGACCGCTTAACAAAAGGAGGAAACATGATGACAAAGCAAGGTCCTCTGCCAGGGCGACGCTCTGGGGGTCAGGTTATTTGGCTCCAAACCGGTATAAAAAGACAAAATTCCAAAAGCACGCTGTGGCGTGAGGCGGACCACGCAAGGCGCTGTTCCCATGAACTCCTTATTTTTCATAACGGGGGATGCAGATATTTTCTCCAAATCGGTTCCAGTCAGTCTCCTATTGATTTTTTGAATTTCTATTTTCAACGGCGGCCCAAGGAAACGGCAGCCAGACTCGACTCCAATGTACACACAGACTCAGGTTTCACGCCGTCACCTGTTGGCTCCTGAACAACACTCCTCTTTGTGCAACTTACAGCACTCATTGGAAACAAGTTTCCAGAGAAAACACTTCAAGAAAGTGTTTGAGAAGTCACAAGACCCGAGTTGTAAAAACAAATTCCACACATAGCCTGGTTTATATTGACAGAGATTAATGTGAAAACCCGAGCTTTTGGAAAAAAGGGGTCGGGAGGGGAGCCGGAGAGAAAGGATGGCACCTTCGTCGGGAAGATTCGGCTGGCTAATTCTAGACAGGGGGCGAGGGATGGCTGTCGGGGCTCCACTGGATCAACCCAGGCCCGCATCGCCAAGAGGGACACCTTCGAGCGGGCGGCAGCGCCCCCTGCGCCCCGCTGTCCCTCCTCTTGGCGCGGCGGTGGCTGCTCGAGCCGCGAGGGGGCGCGCCGGGCCGCGGGTCGGAGCGGGCCCCTGCCCCTCGCCGCCTCCCCGGCCTGTCGTACCCGGAGGCCGGGCTCCAGACGCGGCGACTGGCCGCGATCCCCTCCGTGGCGCCGCTGCCGGGCCCGCAGAGAACAGACCCCGGGCCCCGGGGATGGACCTGTCGCCCTCGAACCCCCTTACGCACCTCCAGAAAAAAGCCTCGCGCCGCCTCCCAGCGCAGCGTCACCTCCAAGGAACAGCACTCGCCCCGCGGCTGGACGGCGGTGCCGAGTGGCCGCCGGTCCCCGCGTCTCTCCCGGAGCCTCCGACGAGCAGCCCCCTCCCCGCGGGCGCGCCCCGACGCGCGCACCCTGCAGCCCTCGGCGTCCAGCCCCCGCCGCCCGGCTGCCATCAAGCCCGGGGCCAGACAGCGGCTCCCCACCTGCGGCCGCGGGGCCGAGCGCGGCCCCAGCCCCTCCCGGCGCCCCGCGACTCCGCCGGCCCCCGGCGCGCACTGACCACCCACCCGCTCTGCGACCCGCCGAGGCTGGCGGCCCGGCGCAGTTCTCGAAGGCAAACGAGGCTGGGTGCCCTCCAGGTCACCCTCGCCCACCCATTTCCGGAGGAGACCCTAGCAGGGCGGGGTACGAGGGGCGGGGGCAGCGAGCGCGGGGCCCATTGCACCGCGGCCGGCCGCGCCCCCTATCGCGGCGCAGCGCTAGCCCCGCCCGGCGGGCGAGGGGTCGCTCCCCCGCCCCCGCGTGACGCACCTTTTTGGGCCGCTGCACTACGAACCCCTTTCGGGGCAACGCGGCGATTCTCACCCGCGGCAGCAGCCTAACCAGCCCAGAGGGGGCCCGCAAAGGTCCTCCAGCTCCCCAGAGACCCTCGGTCCCTGCCGGCGTCGCCGACTCTGCTCCCCGCTGTTTGAGTCGCCACGTCCAGGCCCCCGCATCCCCCACAGCCCGGCTCTGCGTCTCTCCAGGATTCTCCACTGCGGAGAGAAAAACGCGGGTCTCCGCTCTGCGCAGGGAGCCCGCCCGCGGCCGGCGATCTTCAAAAGTAACCAGAGCCCGCATTAAAAAGTAACCATTTCGCTTCCTACCCGTCCCACCCTCCGCGGAGGGCGGAGAGCGGCGGGCTGGCCGCCCGGCCCGCGGTGCCAGCCCTGGTCGGCTCCCCGCTCGCGTCCGCAGGAGGCGCCTGCCCAGCTACATATCGCCGCTGCCGGCTTTCCAGGAACTGTCACTGCTGACCGTGCCCCTGGCAAGTCTTCACGATGTCCCGCGCGCACGTTATTCCTGGAAAAGTTACCCACCCACTTGGCCAATCTCGTGGCTCGAGCACCTACCCACCTCTGTCCGCCTGCTCCATTCCCGGAAACCCTAAGTGAGTGCTCAGAGCAGCTGAGATGCAAAGACCCCATGATGCTTATGTAAACTTCCCCCTCCCGCAGGTGCACGCGCGGGCCACAAAACGCTGGGGTAATATGCAAGCCACCTCTTACAGAAATCGTCTCCACTCTGCACATAACAATGATGTCAGCAAATGGCACGTTTAACCAAGTTCTCACTTGGAAGGGCTCATTAACATATGAATTCTCCCCTTAGGACTTCTCTTGCATTTCGGAGAGATTCCTACTGCTTAGCGCAGGAGATTTATTTTTATCAGTAAATAACAGCAAAAGAAAAGGAGCCAGGTCATGGGATGCACGTAATCAAGTACACAAATAAGAGCTTTTATAAATAGGTTAAGTGAATATCATTATTCGAACACAAGAACGTGCCCATACGCAAGGCTAATCTTGTTTCTGAGCAATTTCTAGGTACGCGAAGAGAAAGCAAAGTTTGGCAATAGTTGTCTACAGAAAGGACCAAGAGATGTAAAAACGGGACCTCAAGGCAAGCCCAGAAAGAAATGATAGATGAATAATAATCCACAGCAGAGGTCTGAATCTCTTATGAACTACAAACTTTAATTTCCGCAACGGCTTCCTTATCACAGGTGATAAAATGCCAAAGGAAAGGAGAGAAAAAGATGCAATATTTAAGAGCTTTGTCAATTTACAAAATGCAAGTAAATAAAACCAACTTAAAATGGTCACCTGTTCCTTCAGGGTCCCACCTTTTCTTTAGGTTAAAAAATCCTTGTACCATCAGGATCCCTTGGGAGTGATTTGCAACATATATGTTTCTACAGTATACAGCTGCACAAGCGCCCATTGTAACTGGGATCTAAAAATACACAAACAAGTTGCCATAAATAGAGCAGTCAAGTAAATAACTCTGTGGCCAATTTCTGTTATCTGTGCTGCAAAGCAAGGCAGCTGAGAGGCTGCTTTTTTTTAAGATACTTTTTTAAAGTGGCAGAGACAAAAAAAGTTGTGACTCTGGCAGTAGACTGGTTTGGAAATGGATTCAGACAACAGGATTTGTAATTCAAATAGACTCTGTTGGCCAATATAGATTCGTTTTGAAGACAGTTCCCAAACAGTTCTAACATTGAGCTCCTCTAGCCTTCAAGTTGTGTGGGGCTTTGTGGGAGGGTGGGGAGAGGAATTCAAAGGTTACCACTTTCCTCTGGGGAGCTGTGAAATTAACCATGAATACCTAGGTCAGATTTCCTTCTCCCTATTTCATTCTGTTTGGGCTTCCTCCAGGAAGTCATCAACTGACAGTATCTATAGGACAAATGTGCAATCAGTTATTGATTTAAATCAAACCCCAAACTATCACATCCTTATGATAAAGGGAGTATCAGCAGCCCATGCTTTAAGCCAAGTGGATCCTTTTGGAAACAGCTTTTAACGGAGAGCTACACATTAGCCAAGGCCACGGAACCCTCCCAACTACAAACCATAGCAACACTTATCAGTATTAAATGTCAGCCATTGTAAGTGTGCTTCCTCCAAAGCAGTAACTTGTAAATACCGTTTGTTATATTTTCAACAGGTACTGTCAGCTTTATTGCCTATTGTAAGTGTTTTTAGTGATGAAGCCGTTTGGAGAAAGTTAAAAGCTTCCTACTAATGTTCAATCTGAATGCAACAGGCTTTAGTCTGGTCTGAAAGACATTATTATTGTCAAGGGTGAATTTATGCAGGATGAGGAGCAAGGCACCCAACCAGCATCCTTTTGTTTCAGCCTGGTGGAATATTCATTGCTTGCAGATTACACTTGAGAGGTGGCTGAGAAAGGAAGCCCAGAAATTCACAGGACTTGGTTGCCTCACCCCATCCTGGTCTCTGCTCTACCGTCACCTCCTCAGAGAGGCCTGCAACCTCCCTAATCTTAACTATCACCCTTGCTCTTGTCTGTGCTATTCGTCTTCATAGCACTCAGCTTTGCTTGACATTATGTGTCTGTTTGTTCATGTTTGCTGTCTTTGTCCTCTCCGAGAAGGTGGGGACCTTGGGGATTTGCTGCTGTATTCTCCACACTTAGAATCATGCCTGGGATGAAGCAGACAAGTTCCCATTAACATGAGTTAAATGAGTGAATGATTTTTGGACATTCTTCTCAGGCCCTCACAGCTACAACAAGTCACTCTGTGCAAGTCACTCTGTTTCTAATCTAAAACCAGACCGAACTGTAATGTCCTAACGGAGGAGACTATGATAGAAAAACAGAAAAACGCCAAGGACAGAGAAATAAAGAGCCAGCATTTGTTTGTCAAATGCCAGCCAGCCCTCTCGGGTCTGGAAAAAAGAGATAAAGTACAGAATATAAAGCAAACGTTGGTGCCATTCCTTAGTTCCCCTGTGATTTATATTTAGTGACCTTGAGGTCTTTTCTGCTCCTTGCCTCTGTCTTTTCATTTGTTAAACAGACCTGCTTTTTAGTTTTAAGAGTAAGAGTTGCTCTTGGTCTCAGACATTTGGAAGGATTTGTAACTAAATGCCAGCAGTCTAGGAAGAGTCTATTTAAATGTCTGGATGCCTTTAAGTTTCTTAATAGAAAAGAGAGATGGAGGGCCCTATTAGTCATCCAATGACATCTCACTCACCAAATTTGAGGGGCAGTTGGCATGTGTAATGTTGAGTAAGGTGACAACTTTAGTCTTCAGTGACAGCGTAGTCTAGTACAGCAATTTGGTTTTCTGACCATGGGTTGTTCTGACTAGAGGTAACTAAAGAATCACAAATAACTCCTGTACGTAGGATGTCATTTCTAATTAAAATGGTTTTTAAAATTAAAATAAAGAATCACAAAATCATACAATTGTAGAGTTGACAACAACCAGTGGGATCCTACGTCTTGTCCAGATAAAGAAATGAGATCCAGAGGAATAATCATAATAATTCTTCATGCTTTTTACCAAATTTGTTACCATTGAAAGTTTATGTAAAATGTCTGTCTTTCTTGTTAATTTTGAACATTTCTGTTGTACCTCAGATTGGGCAATGTAGCCTGGTGGGTCACTGAAGGTTTGCAAATTCTAGTTACCATTAGCTGAGTCTGTCGCACCCCCAGGGAAGGGCCCCAAGGCAGATAGCAGCTCTTCCCAGAGCTAACAGGCTTGACGGTGTTTTATAATAGGGTGCAGTTTTTCTAGGTCTCCAATTACTTTCCTTCCCCTTTGATTATATTTAAAGCAGTGTGATTAGAGAGCACTGGTTCTTTAACATTTTCTACACCCAATCCCTCTTTAGATTTACTACTCCAATCCTCCCAGCCACCTGTCCCTTCCCCCCATACCCCCCTCCTTTCTGAGGGGGGAAGAGCCTTGCTTCCCAGTACCCTGACCACTCGGTTTGGAGTTAGGAAACTTCAATGTCTGTTCTCTGTCAATTACTAGCTCTGTGACATCGGGGATAAATCACTTCTCTAAGCTTTAGGTTTTTCATTTCTGAAAAAGCTAGTGTTTGGGCTAGGTCAATGGTTAAAACTTTTGAGGAGGGAACACAATCCATTTTTCAACTAAAATAGGAATCTCAATATAGAAACAGTTGAAAGTGAAACTGGTCTGTTGAAGCTCTGGGATGGTTTCTTTCCAAACCCCTCCCACCACTACCTCCGTCGCCCCCCCCATTCTTCCAAGGGGGCCCCCAGTCTCCTCCATCTCAAACTAGATGCTCCCAGAGGCTCCACTAGTTCTAACGTTTTCCGAGTCCCTTAAAACTCAACAGCTGGTTATGACACTAATACCAGACAGGTGTCTACAGCTGTGCTATGAAGAGTCTACAGGCCACGCTGGGTGGGAGAATGGTGTCAGGTCCTTTCAGACTCTTGTTCAGGGTTATAACTTCTGGTAAAACAGCCATCTTCGCCCACCCCACCCCTGTCTCCCAACTATTCTGAAAGACCCTTCCCCACCCCAGGAAATGTTTGCTACTTTTCATGGACAGATAATTCAACCGGTATTCAAGCATCTTGACCTTAAGTTCTTCAGCTTTCTCAACTCCTGTAGATCTGTGGTTGAACACAAACATTCTTAAGTCTTTATTACTAAAAAACTGCCAAAATGTTAAGAAATGAATAAACTTTCCAACAACTATTAAGAGATCTATACATGCAAGGATACCTAAGATCTATTAAGATGCAAAACTCAATATACAGTATGATCACATTGTTATAACTAATACTATATAGGCTAGTATATGCATAGCAACACTATTTAGAGGAATGGTAAATACTAAACCATTAATATGGTTTCTAGGGGAGGGCAGATTACAGAAATTTATATTTGTAAAATAAATGTATTTTCATGTTATTGATAACCTTTTTCTTTTATTATATAATGATCAAATAAAATTTTTGTAAACGGTTTAAGAAACAACAAAGAAAATATACTACAATATTAGTATGAGGGAGAAAAGTTCGGAAGCATGAAGTGACGGACCTACAACTAGAATATACAACTATGTACTGGGGAGTTTGGGGGAGAAAAAGAAAAAGAAGAAGAAGAAGAAAAGGCTATAGATGTTAGCTCAGGACCAATCTTTCAAAAAAAAAAGTGACATTCCTGATTTAAGTATTAGTTGATATGGGAAAATATATGAATACATAATTCTTCTCCCTGCTGTCTTCCTCTCAGTCACAGATTTCAAGAGTGACATCTCCGCTGCATTTATTTACAGTAATTTGGGAAGGGAGTGTCACCAGTCCCACCTTTCCATGGAGGCAGACATACTGACTGGAGCAGGAGCTGCTCCAGCTAATACCTCATGTTTCCATCCATTGATTCATTGGCAGCTTCTTTAGTTGAGTCAAAAGATATCTGCTGAAGGGCAGCACTATTACATCTAGACCCTTCCCCTAACTTAAGGACTTCTTGTTCTAAATTTCATACTCTATTTATATCTTGATTTATTTTTTAAAAATGCTTAGAAACATACACAAGATGAGTAGGGAAAAAATAATTTTATTTTCCAAAATACATAACAAACCTTGATACATTGTGATTAAATTATAGTTGAGGTGTGATTAAAATTCTAATATAGGAATAAGAGGAAATGTTGATCAATCAATTCTGGTTAGAAGGTGAGGATCAAGGAATTGTGAAGGTGGGGTGACCTTTGAGCTGGGCCTTTAAGGAGTAGAAGTATTTGATCGGGATAATTAATGGGAAGGAGCTTGGATAAGGAGCAGGGCCTAGTCCAAGTTGAGCCAATCAAAGCTTGAGGGCCAAAAGAGTGAGCAGCTCTTAGCTAACCCATGGGAATGTGATGGGAGCACAGGGAGATAGGAGGGAGGGGCTGGAGACAGTGCCCCAAGGAAGACAGGACCAAGCTGTGAATGGCTGCACATGCCAGAACCTCTAAGGGATTCTAGGGGCTACCTATGGGGAGTCAGAAGTTTAAGCAGAGAAGAGTGACATGATTATATCTATACCCTGATTAGAGGGGAGGGCGGAGAGAACAATGCAGGGAAATGAGATGGGAAGATCCTAGAAGCTGCCTCAGTACTCAAGGGCAGAGAAGACAAGACAGTGTGTCTGATGGCGAATAAAGCAAACTTGTGGTGGCCCAGTGTGTATGGTGGGGGTAAATGGGGTGCCAGATGGGGTGCTCACATTCCTAAATGAGCCAGCATTCCGACAGGTTACTTGAGAAAACAACCAACAGTTTGGCCCTGATGCGAGCTCTAACTTGAAACCACATATATTTTTCACTGCCCATGGGTGACAAGTCAAGGTAACCTGAA